TGTTCATAGAATTGCTACTATTCTTTTCTTTGATATCCTGTTGAGTTTGTAGGTGTTCTGAATGGTTTGATAACAATCTAGCTGAATTCCTGGGACCAGACAAAATTTAGGTGTACTCCTCCTCCACCATCTTGCTCCTCCCTTCATGTTCTTTTACTTTTCCCTTTTCTTTTACTATGTTCTTTTATTTATGTCTTATGAGCTATAGAAGATGGCACTAAGTTAGGACTTTATTAAGTGTATACACATTAAAATATTTTTGAATAAATATAGTTACTGTGCTATATTGTATGTTTATATTGTTTTGCATCACAGCATACTTCCTTTACTACCTCATGTACCCAGTCTGGTGCTACAGACATCTTTTTTTTTTTTTTTAAGATTTTATTTATTTATTTGACAGAGACACAGCGAGAGAGGGAACACAAGCAGGGTGAGTGGAAGAGGGAGAAGCAGGCTTCCTGCTGAGCAGGGAGCCTGATGTGGGGCTTGATTCCAGGACCCCAGGATCATGACCTGGGCTGAAGGCAGACACTTTATGACTGAGCCACCCAGGCACCCCCAGTGCTACAGACGTCTTAACAAATATTTTTTCAAGGAATGAAATAACCCAATCCACCAGCAAATTTACCTTCTTTGAAAAATAAACAGAATAATTATGTCTTTATTTAGTTAAAATTTTGTTTTATAAATAGATTAATAAAAACGTTAAAGTAATAGAAATAATTCATTATATTAGTTTTAAATTTCTGAAAGACATACAAGATGCAGGCACATCCAAGTATGCAAGGAGATATTTTATTTGCTCTGATGTAGGAAGAATTATCCACTAAAACATAGGGTTTTTTTTTTTCTCCCCTGCACACAGCCCAAATATAGTCCCATCTTGACAGATTATAAATATAGCCTGAGAGTTATAATATTAAACTGAATTAAAGTTTTAACAGTAAGTATGATTTCCAGAGTTGAATGGGCTACAGATATTACATTCTGCTTCTCTGATACTTAATCAGCATCACTTATGAAGCAATATTTAAAATCATGTGGTGAAATTGGTTCACTGATAAAGCAGACCTGCGCCAGGAAGCATTGTCTACTTCAGAGTAATTTTTCTGGGTTGAGAATGGGTATTAAGTGAGGATTAATATAATCCTAAGAAGGAATGGTCTATAAAGGGGAGGTAAATGACTTGCATAGAGGTGTATGTATAGAATAAATATTCTTCATGTAACCAAACTCTGGATACTCAGATAGTTGAATTCAGCCTGGTAACAGGAAATAGCATATTAGGATTCAGGTAAAACCCCAATAATTAAAATGTGAAATTGCCAGCATTAAAAATACCTACAAATTAGCTCAAATGTTAATCTTTGTATACATAATGAGGTCACATTTCAGTGTCAACTGATGAACCAACACAAAGGTTCTTGTTATCATAGTATCGGTTTGTAAGTCTCTGAAGTGGCAATGCTTCCTCAAGGAGGTAAGACTTGTCATAACACACAATATTCCTGAATGAACTAACCACTTAACAGAATTAATTTCCCTTTACACATTCATCCCTGCTTAACTCTACTGTCTTCATCCATCATGCCAACATATTATTTACTGATATTTTGATATAGTAAACATTATTCAAATTCAATGTAAAACAATCTTGAGAAAGATGCAATAGACTTCATATAGTTGTTGAATGTGCACTTGGAGAACTACTTGTAGGAAATGTAAAGTCCCATTGGCAAATAGGACCTGGTAGAGTTAGGACAATTAAAAAGTGAACAATAAATGGGAAAAATAAAGACAAATTCAATGGATAAGAATTTGTACAATAAGAATTAGGAGGGACCATTGGGAAAATTGGTGGAGACTGACATTTTACAAAATTGCTCCATTATTAATATTCATTATCATTATTCCTTGAGTTCAAAAGTTAAGTAAAGGTTGTATCTAGTTATCATACTTTATTCTTCTGGAGAATAAGGCCAAGAAAAACACTTGACACTTGATTCATTATTTGTAAAATTAGTACACATTTGTGATTATAACTAAATTTTGGTTAAGTGTAAGATAACATTTATTTCCATAAGTTTTAGTTTTGTTTTTTAAAGTAAAGTCCTAAACAAATCTCTTTTCTCCACTTACTGTGGAATATTGGTCAAGATTTTAAAAGGATTAATTTTATGAGACTTTTCCTCCTATATCCAGCAGTACTTAGGTGAAAACAGTCTGTGATTCTATTCTGCCCAGTGATCATTTCTGACATTTCAGACAATAGCTTGTACAGCCCAGATTTATTACTTTGAGAAAGATTAGACCACAGCAATGTCAATCTCACTTGCTATTTTCCATAAGCATAACCTTGAAAATCCAGACAGGAAGAATAGATTGAGAAAGCCTCCCTTTTAAGGATTGTTCCAAAGTCTGAATATACTTCATAAAATTAGATTTGGGCAGCATGTGTGATAAGGTAAGAGCTAGGTATCACCTAGAAATAAAGATGTAGTGAGCTGAGGGATAAAAGGAAAGTCAGAGGGAAATAATTGGTGTTTGCTGAGATGGTGTTCTGTGACTTACATTCCCAGGGGGGTGTTCTGGGAATGAGATGAGGAGACAATCGAATGGCCATTGAAGTTTGGAGAAATATGGCAAGAGGAACCTTCCAGAGGGACCCATGATAACTTTCACACATTGAACCCATACTGCATGTCATCAGAAGTGTAAAAATGATGCCCTTCAGCCTTTTTGTAGACCTTTCCTTCAGCTAGGTGCTGGGGTATATCAATTACCCAAATACCAGTTTTTCCATACTCTTAAATATCCTAGACGGAGAGGTCAAGAGAATTTACTCAGAAATTAGCAGAGGGAGAGAGCAAGAGAGACCAAGATAGCAGACTTGACAGAAGCCTTGTGAAATTAAAAAGTAAATGTTTTAGGTGAAATCATGCTTCCATGTCTAGCCTGGGGACTGGATATAAACATAGAAATCAAAACTGATAGTGGCACCAAGAGATAACCAGAAAGTCAAAGAGGATCAAACATCTCAAAGGGATATAACAGGGACAGAGCTTAATCTGTAACATGACACCATTTTGTTGTGTTTTTTTTTAAGATTTTATTTATTTATTTGACAGAGAGAGTGAGCATGAGTTGGGGGGAGGGAGAGGGAGAGGGGGAAGCAGGCTCCCCGCTGAGCAGGGAGCCCAACACCTTACTCCATCCTAGGACCCTGAGATCATGACCTGATCTGAAGGCAAATGCTTAACTGACTGAGCCACCTAGGCACCCCAACATGACACCATTTTAATGCCATATCAGACAAGTACCTATACATTTAGATGCATTCAAGGAAGGATGGTGGTAGGGTTGGGCAAATACTAAATTGATGAGGTTTAAATTAGAAACAACAAGGGGCACCTGGGTGGCTCAGTCGGTTTAGCCTCTGACTCTTGGTTTTGGCTCAGGTTGTGATCTCAGGCTCCTGAGATGGAGCCCTGAATTGGGCTCCAAACTCAGTGTGGAGTCTGCTTGAGATTCTTTTCCCCTCCCCCTCTGCTCCTCCCCTGACTTGTGTGTTCTGACTCTAAAATTAATAAATAAATAAAATCTTAAAAAAATAAAATAAATTAGAAACAACCAAGAAAATCTTGAAATGTATCAATTTCAAATCTTGAAATGTCTAATTATATGGAATTAGCTAGATTAGATTTTTTGGAGGTTACAAATGGAAACAAAGTGATTATAAGTTTGTACTCATGACTTAGGGGATTGGAAATACTGCATCTATGTTCCCACAACTTTTTCTAAATAGACTCAACCTGTTGATTTTCCATGTGAAGTCCACTTCTGTGGCTGGCTAGCCTGGACCAGAGCTGTAACCTGACAATTGCCTTTGGGAATTTAGATGTGACCTCAGAGCATTAAGAGAAGAGGTAGAAGGGGGAATTTTTCTTTTTCATATGGGTTCTCCTTGATCCAAAAGTTAGTCATTAAAATCATGACAATGTTCTATTAATTAAGAAGATGGAAAAGATGGTATTGTGGTAACTGAGATATCCCAGAACCTAGAGTAGTGCTTCCACATAGCAAGGTCTCAATAAATCTATGTTGAATAAATAAATAAAAAGTAATTCTTTCATTTTGTTGCATTAAAATCATTTAATTCTAAAAAAATAAATAAAATCATTTAATTCTACTTACATTCCACAACGTCAGGTTTTGCAATGGTGAAAAGAAAAAAAAAATAAGGAATTATTGTAGATAAGCCCTACCCACAATTCAAAAATCATACCTTCATGTCTATATATAATATAGTATTGTCCTCATTGTTGAATCCTTTCCTCACCTCTCAAGAAGGAGAATAGAGAAGTTGAATGTAACTCACTGACAATGGAGGCTCTTCAAATCTTACATGAAGTTTGACTACTTGCCTGGAACTTTGTGTTATGGCATCTTTATGAGTGTACATATGGGAGTAAATAACTCTTTCTGAAGATAACTACTCTTGAAGTTGACATTCTGTGCCTAATTATTCAACTCCATTGGAACTTTAACTTGGAAATATAATACTCACTTTTATTTGACACCTTCATTTTCTATCCTAACTATAGTGCCCCCCACAATGCTATTAAAACTGCTTCCTCAAAATTTACTTGCTTCAACTTTGTCTCTCATGGTTGTGAGTGATCTCATTGGTTGAAGGTTCACATGCCCTTCAAGTCTTTTAGCCTAACTGGAGTACTCATGCTCCAAGCTATTAACGTGGACTGGCTGTGAATGTTAAATAGAATTCTCCTTTATATGTGCAACTGATAGTTTTGCTGTTTTCCTTTTGGGGGCTGATAATCCCAATCCCTGATGCAGACATAGTCCATGAGCGTGACAACACACTAAGCTGTTTCTTGAATGAATTACAAGTTTGGTTTTGAATTTTTTGTTATTTTGAATTAAGATTTATCACAGTTTTCTCTTTCCTATATATTTTCTCCCATATATATTTCTTCCTAAATTGATTTCATTATGCTATATTCCAATATTTTACATGTAATTTGTGTATTTTCTCCGTGTAATTTCACTTCGAATGAAACAGATAAAAAGTGGGATGCACAGGTAGAAAAGGCTTTGACCCTTCCTTCTTTGGATTTCATTTTGAAAATAGTAAAGAGAACGTGGAAGTAAGATATTAAGACACCGCCTATGGTGAAGACTTGAATTGAACCTGAAAAGATAAATAGTACCAGCTCATTGACATAAGGGTCAACACAGGAGAGTCTGTATAAAGGAAGAATATCACAATAAAAGTGGTTAATGTGATTAGATCCACAGAAAGCTAACCTAAATAGAAGCCCTACATGAATCATGGGATGCAGGTTTCCAGCTATGTAGGCCCCTGTGTTCATCTGAATGCAGAGTTTCTTTGACATCATGGTGTGGTACTGCAGTGGGCTGCATATGGCCACATAGCGATCACAGGCCATTGCCGCCAGGAGAAAGCAGTCCGCGGTTTCAACAGTGCAAAGGAAATAGAACTGTGCCATACATTCACAGAGGGAAACCATTCTGTTCTCAGAGAAGAAGTTCCCTAACATCTCAGGAGTGATGGCACAGGCACAGCAAGAGTCCACAATAGCCAAGTTGCCCAGAAAGATGTACATGGGTGCGTGAAGATGATGCTCTCTTGGAATCAGTATCACCAGGCCAAGATTCCCCACCATGGTGATCAGGTACATGGCAAAGAACACCACAAACAGAAGGCTCTTCAACTCTGGGTGACCTGTAAATCCTGTGAGGAAAAACTCACTTCTCATGGTATGATTTTCTTCAGCCATTCCTGACTTCTCTGTTGAGAAAAAAATTATGGAGAAATGAGGTGCTAATTTATAATATGCCCAATTTGACTGCTAAGCTAACGGGTTCAGAAGGACGAGGAGCATATTATATAAGGCTTTTCATAGGTTGTGTGGGACATGGCACATGCCCGGTTCTGTGGTAGTATCAATCTCCTGAAGCTATTACATGTGTAGCTACTCTTTTAACATTCTTCCAGCATATTTTCAAGAAAAATATCAGATTATATGCACAGGGATGGCTTTTGAGGTCTTAAGAGGAATGTTCAGTGCAAAAAAACTTCTCTATATGGTTAGGTAAAGCTGATTCATAATTCAAGGGTCAGCAATTAGCATCAGTGTTCCCAAACAATTTCAGTTATTGTATACGTACTGATTAACAATGATGTTGAGAAAACTATCTCATACACTAATGTTCAAAGCAGCATTATTCACAATAGCGAAAGCTGGAAACAACCCAAATGTCCATTGATGAATAAATGGATGAACAAAATGTGGTATATATGTCCAAGGAAATATTATTCAACCTTAAAAAGGAATGAAATTCTGATACATGTTAAAATATGGATGAACCTTGAAGATGTCATGTTAAGTGAAATGAACTAGACACAAAAGGACAAATATTGTATGATTCCACTTACATGAATTAAAGTCGTCAAAGTCATAGAGAAAAAAAGTAGAATGATAGTTGTCAGCAAGAGGGAGGAAATGGGTGGTTATTGTTTAATATGTATGGAGTTTCCTTTTGGCATGGTAAAAAAATTCTGGAAATAGTGATGATGGTTACAAAACAATATAAATATACTTAATGTCACTAAACTATATACTAAAATACGGTTAAAATTTTCTTACGTGTATTTTATCACCATAAAAAATTTTTTAAAAGATTATATGCATTTGCAAATTCTTTTTTTTTTTTTAAGATTTTATTTATTTATTTGACACAGAGAGAGAGCGGGAGAGAGTAATCACAAGCAGGGGGAGCGGTGGACAGGGGAGAAGCAGGCTCTGCAGGGAGCCCGACGTGGGGCTCTATCCCAGGACCTTGGGATCATCACCTGAGCCAAAGGCAGCTGCTTAACCCACTGAGCCACCCAGGTGCCCCTTCATTTGCAAATTCTTAACAATTCACTATCATCAATGATAATAGAATATATATTTAAAAATAAAATGCTTTTTGGGAAAAAAGTAGTGCTATTTATGAGGTTTTTAAAACCGTGGAGGTTGGGAAGGGAAAGTGATGTGGTTGGAAGCAGGCAGGAGAGAGAGGAAGAGGGAAGAGGAAAAATGAGGCTGTATGTAAAATCTTCCAGGTTATTTATAATACTATTTATGCATTCAATGTAAAGTTATTCATATATGCATAGGAAATTTAAATGCTATCAGAAGAAATTAGAGAAATGTAAAGGGTTAAAAATTGATAAATTTAATTATATAACTATATGTCAAAAACATCATGAGTAAAATCAAATGTGAAATGCAAACTGGCAAATTATTGCAATAAATATGATAATGTTTCTATAGTTTTATTCTAGAAATAGCTTATAGAAATCAGCAGGAATAATCACTAAAAAAAGAAAAAGGAAAGGAACAGAAAAATCTGAAAGGAAATACAATTTTAACAAAATAAAAATGTTTTATTTCATTACTAATCAAAACAACATCATTTTAAGTTATGAAGGCAAATTAATTTTGGTTATCAAAATAGAATCTTTTAAAAAAGAAATGACAATTTATTGTTGTCTAAAATACAGTGAGATGGGAACCCAAATGCATGCTTAGTAGAAGTTTAAATTGGTTCAATCATTGGAAGATAGTTAGGTAATAAGTTAACGAAACTCTTAACTGTTCATGCCCTGTGACCAGTAACTACAAGTCTCGCAGGAAGAAATAGTTATCGTGGATCACTACATCAAAAACTAATGTTGTATTGTAGGGTGACTAACATAACATAATAAAATTAAATTAAATTAAAAAAAAGAAATAATTAGAACCTCAGATAAAGACTTACATATAATGATGTCCATTGTAAAGTTACTTATAATAGTGAAAAATTCAAAACACCTCAATGGTAAACATTTGCTCAGTATGATTAAGTAAGTGTGAATATCCATATGATGGTATAGTGTGCAATCATTATTTAATATTTAATATAATGATAAAATAGACATGATAAAACATGTGAAAAATAAAATATAATGTTCATATACGGAATAATCCTACTTTAGAAATAAATACTTACTATGAATATAAAGGAAAGGCAACACAGAAACACATCAAAATGTTAATACTGGTTTTCTCTGTGCAATGGGAATTATAGGTCACTTTTTTCTTTATATTTTCCTCTATTTCAAATTTTCTACAATGAATATTGCTTTTATAATCAGAATACAAAAAAAATTTTTTTAAGATTTTATTTATTTATTTGACAGAGAGAGAAAGCAGAAGCAGGGGAAGGGGCAGGCAGTGGGACAGGGAGAAGCAGGCTCCCTGCTCTGCGGGGCTCAATCCCAGTATGCTGGGATCCTGACCTGAGCCGAAGGCAGTTGCTTAACCAACTGAATCATACAGGCGCTCCAGAATACAAAATTTTTATTAAATAAATTCAATGATATGCTCTAGGTCTGCTGTTTTATAACTTATTACCCCGCAATAATCATTAAGGATCTAATTAATGTTTTCTGCACTTTACAGTTCTATTGTGGATAGCATCACGATGGATGTATTGAGGAAGTATCTGCTCCATCTCTGTGATCATGACATTCACGGTTACAAATAATAATTTGCTGGCAATCTTGCATGTATCTAGAGTCATTCAGGAATATATTCACATCTTGTGGTAATGTATTCTTAAGGAAACTTGTCTCTATGTAAAGCAATGACTCTTTGGTGTAAAGTTTTACTCTTTTCAGTGTCAAGTATTTCCATGATATTTTAAGCTTTTATAATTTGTTAAACTTTGAGTATATTTTAGAAATATCTATAATTTATCCCTTACATTTTTCCTTATTAACAAGTTCTAATTTATTGAAGAATACTTTATTTCAATCTACCTTTGCTTATTTTAGTTAATTCAAGAATCATTTGTTCATTGACCTGGTATGCTTTTTTTTTTTTTAATTTTTTTTAAAGATTTTATTAATTTATTTGACAGAGAGAGACACAGCGAGAGAGGCAGCACAAGCAGGGGGCATGGGAGAGGGAGAAGCAGGCTTCCCGCGGAGCAGGGAGCCCGATGCGGGGCTCGATCCCAGGACCCTGAGAACATGACCTGAGCCGAAGGCAGATGCCTAACGACTGAGCCACCCAGGCGCCCCTGACCTGGTATTCTTAATGCCTGCTCTGTGCTACATACTTTCTTAGATCAATTGATCCTCTGGACATTTCCACACTGATAGTTTTCTGGATATTTATTGACCATAACCACACTTTGTATTCCAGGAACAGAGGAAAGGCATTTTGGAGAGATGTAAGAAGATCTCTTCCCTTTTGCCTTCCTGAAAATATTATTAACTTTTAAATCTCAGACTAATTTGGACTGATTCCTTTAGGAACAGTATTTAAAAAGAAGAACATTTGAAGTCTCTATATTTTGAATTCGTTTTTCATTAAATGACTTACTTTTGGAAACCTGATGTCTAAAAATGAGTATTTTAAACCTTTATAATTTGAATAATTTTTTCAATAAATGCCTTACACTTACCAGCTTGAAGTTACATAAAATAGTAAGATTTCCTTTAGTTTTCCTAGTTGATTATAATTAGTCAGAGAGAAATAAGTCTTACACTGATATTTTATTTCTCTAAGAATCAAAAGAGAAACTAGAAAGTTACCTCAAATTACATCAAGGTTTTAAAAGAATGGCTTAAAATTACAGCTGATCCTTGAACAACACAGACTTGAGCTGTGCAGGCCCACTTAAACATGGATTTTTTTTCCATACAGTATAGTAATGTAAGTGTGTTTTCTCTTTCTTATGATTTTCCTAGTATATTTTCTTTTCTCTAGCTGACTTTATTGTAAGAATACAGTATAACATAAAAAATATGTGCTAATCGACTGTTTATGTTGTCAGAAAAGCTTCTAGTGAGTAGTTCTGGTTAACTACTACTATCAGTAGTTAAGATTTGGGAGTCAAAAGTTATATGTGGATTTTCAATTATACATGGGGTCAGCATCCTTAGCATCCACATTGTTCAAGGGTTAACTGTATATTCCTTTCTCATATGATTTGTTTAATATATAGGGAATGTCCAACACAGTTTAAACATCATTTCATTATAGAGACTAATAATCTATTTCACCTGTTAAGTTATAAGTTATATTGCAAACCATATTACTTAAAGAAGTTTCAAAAATACAATGTTTTCTGTTATAACTATAAAAGTACACCTTTACTTATTTATTTTTGGTAAATTTAGGCTTCTCTTAAATTCAGAAGTGATAAAAATGAATTATAGTCATTTGTCTAATTCTTACACAATAGACTTTACATTAAAGACTTAAAAGAACTTAAAAGATTGAAAGATAAGAATTGCAACCAAAAAACCTTAAAGAATTTAAAGAAATGTTTCTGGGGGTTAATATTTCCAACAAAAAAAGTTTTAAATACTCGCTCACCTGGATTTCCCTGTTAAGAGTTTTATAAAAGCTAGTTGGTTGTCTGGTGCTGATTTTTAAAGTAGATCCAGAAATAAAACTCTATTCTTTTGAATGGTTAGGGAAATATTTCTACCAACAGGTCAGTGATAATATTTATGTCATTAACAGAGAATGGTTTAAATATTTAAATAATTCTGAGGGGATTTACTTGGCATTGAGTACAGCCTGAGAGACCTAATTTTTAAAACATTACAGACATACTGAATGGGAATAATTAAATGTATCCTTTGAGATCTGGAGAGTAAAGCAAATGCCCATTTCCAAAACAAATTTTAAGGGCTATATTTTGATTTTAATTTATTTGCATTTATACCATTTAT